TGGCTTCATGACATTTTCCACCGAGAATTTTTGAGGAAAAAAAAAAAAAAGAAAAATATATAATCACATACTTTTTACATAGATAACTTGTGAGCGGTATTATTTTTCTTTTTTTCTTTTTAAGTGTTTCACCCCAAGCAAGGCGGGAAGCCACTAGAACGCGAGGGTTTACAGAAAATTTGGAGCAAGATCAGATAAGAGTGATAGAGGAAAGGATGAGGAGAAGGATAGTGGATAGATCAAGACAACTGGAGATGTCGATTGACATTACATTTGAATAGTTGGAGATTATAGCTCTCAGGGAAACTGGAATAGGGAAGGGAGTTCCACAGGCGAGAGGTGCGAGACATGAAGCTATTGGAGTAGAAGAGACGGCCACATTTAACAGTTTCGACTGTGAAAGGGTGAGAGCGGGATTCCAGCCTCGTAGGGCGCTTGAATTCATGAAGTCTGGGAACAAGCGAATGCAACTCCTCGGAATAAGTACCATGAAAGTATTTGTAAAAAAGACAGAGAGAGGCAGCAGTACGTCTGTGAGAGAGCAAGTGTAGACGAGATACCAGAACAGGGCCAGTAATATTGCATATCCACCTCTGGATCTTATCAAGAACCCTGAGGCAAACAGAAGGGTCTCCAGACCATATATGGCAGCAATACTCCATACGATTACAATTTTTTTATATTTCTTTAAGTCTTGGGCTAGCAGGAATCGCCTCAATGATTCTGTCGGAACCTTTTCCAAAGAATCCGAGGGCTCCAACTACAATTGGAATTGTTGATATCCTCATATGCTACATTTTTGAGATTTCGATTCCAAGATTCTCGTACGATAGTTTTTTTTAAAGATCCTCAAAGATACATTGCAGTCTGCAGGAACTGCCATTCCAATAAGATTGCACATTTTGTCTTTGCGGTCTCAGTCTGCGCGATTAGCTTTGATATTTTTTTATCTGTGTATGTATTGTGAAGTTACTATTATTATTGTGACCATTATCACTATCATTGAAATTTATACGGCGATCATTTCAAACATGGTGATCGTTAAAAAAAAACAACAAATTTTAATTGACTCTCCGTGCCTAAGAAGGTTGTATTTTATAACACTGCGATTCCGACTGTTTCGAACTGTTTCTGGAGGTTCTTTGAAATCGTCACAAGAGCGCAAATGAATAACATTTGGCAAAATTTTAACATGTTAATTTTAACGTTCTTTCCCTTAACTACGATTTATTAATCGCCTTTTTCAAATTCTTTATCTGAAATGTAGTCCTCTCCAAGGCATACTACAGTTATCCAAAGACACTAATGAGAATCTTTTCAGGATCAATGTTATGTTTAGTTTGTTATGTTCAATATTTCTATGAGTCTGAATTTTGAAGTCCCAATTTCCATGTTCAGTTTCCAATAGCTTCACAGATTCATGTTATTTTTTCCGGTTTCTTGGAAGTTTCCAATCTATACTTCCGGCACAAACACTAATGGAGATGCAAACTCGCTCTGTCATGGAGACACTTGTATTCTCTCTGTCTGGAAGATTTATGGATTTTCAAGTGTTTTGAAATATACAAGAGCATTATTGTTTTAATATTATTATAATTTTGATTGCTAGTCATCAATAATGGACTAATGATCTTGTGGAAAGAGGGAAAAGACATATTAGAGAAGCTACTTGGTTTCAGTGAAAAAAATGAATGAAATAAAGATTTGTTTAATATATCCTGCCAATACCGCATAAATAATTAACTATTGGGTTTTCATCGCGCTGAAAGAGGGAAAAGACATATTAGAGACGCTACTTGGTTTCAGTGAAAAAAATGAATGAAATAAAGATTTGTTTAATATATCCTGCCAATACCGCATAAATAATTAACTATTGGGTTTTCATCACGCTGAAAGAGGGAAAAGACATATTAGAGACGCTAAATGGCTTCAGTGAAAAAAATGAATGAAATAAAGAATTGTTTAATATATTCTACCAATACCGCTAAATAATAGACTAGGCATTAATGAGGAAAAGAACAGATAATACACTATGTATAAAAATTACTGCAGTTCTAAGACAACATATAATATTACGATTTGGAGATACGAACTGATACTACACATTGATCCTAGCGTGTGAAGAAAAGCCTAAATAGTTTAGCACCGGCTGCTTGTTTAATGAATGCCAAATTTTTCTTTATAAGGAAATGGTGAATGTTACCGTCATTAACAGAACTACGAAAACAGATATTACACTTTGATCATTGCTCGATAGCCAACGAGTAAAGAAACGATTAGCACTGGCTGCTCGGTCACTGAATTCCGAATGCTTATTTTCAAGGAATCAGCTAATATTACCATTAGTATTAGAAATGAGGAGAACAGATAATACACTTTGATCCCAGCCCGAGGTAACATCAACAGTCAAGTTGCCCAGAAGATCGCCCTACTAGGAACATCCCATATGTACAGAAAAGTGTCAGCAGTTAAAATACAATTTTCCAATAGGACCTAAGGACCATAGTTTGTACCTGGTCCTACAGGATACAAACAAGAACCATGACATATACAAATAATAATAATAATAATAATAATAATAAGTGATATCCAGAAACGATTGATAATCTTGTATCAAGTTGCACGATATTGGCATCCACTGAATATAAAATATGGCATGACAGAGTTGGCCAATATCTGCACTGGAAAATTTGCAACTTCTACGGGAAGGAAACCGAAAGAAACTGGTATGAACACCACCGAGACCCGGTTACCGGAATAGGACCTGTTACAATTCTATGGGACTACACAATACACACTGACAGAATAATCAAAGCCAACCGCCCAGACATTGTCATTAAAGACCACAGAATACAAGGACCTTGAAATAGAAATCTCAAAAATGTGGCACATGGGAACATCAACAATCCCTGTTCAAGTTGGAGCCCTAGGAATAGTTGGAAAAGATTCCAGTAGGCTAATCGAAGGGATTCCTGGAAGTCCATGCGTCAAAGAGAAAAAAAAAAAATTTCTGACAAGTACAGCCCACACTTTACGAAGGGCTTTATCTATGAAATTTTTTTATTTATTTTTTTTTTTTTTGTCAGTGGAAAGTGTCATGATGCCATCTCTAACCTTAGGTCTCTGGGCGGGACACAGAAAGAAATGTGTAAACACCAGAAATCAAAGGAAATAATAATAATAATAATAATAATAATAATATCAAAGAGGCAGTACAAAAATACTAAATAAAAACAAACATCTGCAAGATATTTTAAATGGAAAATAATTAATAGAGATAGTGAATGTATGTTCTCATATCTTGCTGAAGTTTATTAATCCTTTTCTGTTAATGCAACTGTACAAGACGATACCTGTAGGGTCATCCATGGCGGTAAGATCGAGAAGGAGTGACCAGACTGAACATGGCCAACCAGCGTAGACCTTCAACTGCGGGATAGGCAAAGGTATACGTGATCTCAATGACCAAGCTGGCGAAAGAGGGAAGCGCCAGTCGAACTGGCGTAATCAAGGCGGACCTTGACAGACCAAGTATCCTGACAGCCTGATGCAACCAGCTTTGCCAGATTTCGCTTGTCACAATCCCATTTGACTCGCGTGGGAGGTTCTTCTGTCCTAGCGTTTGGACTTCTTTGTCGTGGAGAGTTGTCAACCCATATACAATTCATGCGAATGGCCTCGTCAAACTCTCTTTGACTCACAGCCATTGACACCATCGGAGATGGAGAAAGAGAATACGGAGATAGGAAGACGATATTAATGATTGGATGCGAGCTGGTGCCGACGACGACAAGGCAACGTATTTGTAACATCACAAGGTAACCTTGTGGCCACGTAGGATGTTGCCAAAAAGAGGTCTGTGTAACGTTATGGAAAGGTTGTAGAAGTCTCATTTTGTTAGCTGGGTGGTCATTGCTCATTGTTGAACCGACTTTTTAATCACATCAGGATATTGGGCTGATGATGGTGATATGAAATACGTATCATCGCCTCCCTCTGGTTCCCAGGCGATATGAATTTAAGCTACAAAGGTGATATCTCAGTCCCACCCTTTCACTGTGGAAACGGTTAAATGTAGCCGTCTCTTTTACTCCAATAGCTTCATGTCTCGCACTTCCCAGCTGTAGAACTCCCTTCCTCTTACTTGCTTCCCTGATAGTCTCCAACTATTCAAATGTAATGTCAGTCGACATCTCTAGATGCCTTGATCTAATTTGCCGTCTTTTGCTTCATCTATGAAGCCTCTTTACTCTTGCTCCCACTCGCTGTAACCCCTTGCGTGCTAGTGGCACTCCCAACTTGCTTGGGGGTGAAATGCTTAAAGAAAGAAAAAAAAGGGGGCGTATGAATGCCCCATTACTTTTCTTACGAAAAGCCTCACTTCTTTCATTTCACTTTTATTGTTATTTTATTATTTTGTATTGTAATGAATTCCTTATTGTGTTTTAATGATGCAGTCATACCTGAACATATAATAATTATAATCTTCAATTATTCAAATACAATGTCAATCGACATCTCCAGATGCCTTGATCTAATTCCCTGTCCTTCTCATCATCCTTTCCTCTATCACGCCTATATACTCTTAATCTCATTCTCTGTAACCCATTACGTGCTAGTGGCATCCCCACTTTGCTTGGGGTGAAATGCTTAAAAAACGTAACGGTAGGTAGTGTTATTTTTATTTACTTACAGTGTTTTTAATTTCTTCAACTAGATTTTGATCGGTTTTGAATTTTGCGACTGAAAATTCATAACTCCCTGATTGGGTTATCCACACAGGCATCTTCCAGAACTATAAAATCTGTTGATTTAAATCCTCAGTTGTGTAATTTAAAATAATTTGATGATATCGGAACGGAAGCTGTTTCTGTCTAGTCTTTGAGTTTTGCAATATATTTTCTCTCTAAGTTATTTCTTCCTGGGACGTCGTATATTACGAGGTTGCTGAATATAGGAAACTCCGACATTCAGCCTCGTAAGTAATTATATATTAAAACTATAGCAGGGAAGAAAGAAAGAAAGAATGAATGGTGAAAGAAAGAAAGAAAGAAAGAAAGGGAAAGAAAAGAAGACTGGTAAAGAAAGAAAGAAAGAAAGAAAGAAAGAAAGAAAGAAAGAAAGGAATGAAGGAAGGAAGGCGAAAGAATAAAGAGAAGGACAAATTTAAAAAAAGAAAGAAAAGTGAAAGAAAGAACGAAAGAAAGAATAGTAAGTAAAGAAAGAGGAAGAAACAAAGAATGGTAAGAGTAGAAAAGAGAGAAAGAAAGATAGAAAGGTGAAAGAAAGAAAGAAAGAATGACAAAACAAGAACGAGAAAAGAAAGAAAGAAAAGAAAGAAAGAAATTCATGAAGTTATGAATTGAGGGAGGAGAGAAGAAAAAAAAGAAGAAAGAAAGAAAGAAAGAAAGAAAGAAAGAAAAGTGAATGAAAGAAGGTTGAGAACGAATAGTAAAAGAAGAAAGAGAATAAAGAATGGTAACCGTAAAAAAAAGAAAGAAAGAAAGAAATATAAAAGAAAGAAAGAAAGCGCGTAAGGGGAAAGAAAGAAAGAAAGAAAGAACGGTAACAGTAAAAAAAGAAAGAAAGAAAGCATAAAAGGTGAAAGAAAGAAAGAAAATAAATGAATAGTAAAAAAAGAGAGAGAAAGAAAAAGTTAGGATGGGAAAAGAAGACTGAAAAAAGAATGATGAAAATGGAAAAGAAGGAAACAAATTTAAAATAAATAAAGTTAAAAGTAAAAAAGAAAGAAAGATGAAAGAAAAAAGAACGAAAGAAATAATCGTAAAACAAGAAAAAGAAAGACTGTAAGACTAGTAAAAGAAGAAAACGAAAGAAAAAAGATAGAATGGTAAAATGAAAGAAGGAGAAAGAAAGACATAATGGTAAAAATGGTAAATGTAAAAGAAAGAAAGAAAAGTAAAAGAAAAAGAAATAGAGGTGAACGAAAGAACGAAATAAAGAATCGTAAAAGAAGAAGAAAAATGAAAGAAAGAAAGAGTGGTAAAGAAGAAAAAGAAAGAATAAAGACAGAATGGTGAAAGAAGAAAAAGAAAGAAAGAAAGAAAAATGTTAAATGAAGAAAAAGAAATAAAACAGAAATGAAAGAAGGAAACGAAGCGAGTAACAAATATTTGTAAATAAAAAAAATCGATGTTAAAAAAAAAAAAAATCAGTGTAAAACTACGTCCTTGTGCAAATGAATTGAAACAACTTCTTCAGTTTCCTTTCTTTCAACATACAGTCAGTCTTAGACCCATTTGAGTGACAGGGGGTAATAGATTTCTATTTTTTCCTCAGATTAGGTCATTTATCAGTGATGTGCAGTAATATGAATTTATTTTCGGGGTGTATGATGGAATTTGTTTGTCCTTGAAAAATACTGCGTCATCCATGATTGCAACAGATTTTTATTCCGCTCAGACACTATTGTCTCGACTGTCGATTAGTTGTCCTACGGCAATTGTCTGCGATGGACGTCACTCCAAGGAAACCTTCGAAAATCATAATGCTGCACGAACACACTGGCAAGCCTTACCAGTGAGCAAATCAAAGTAAAATAGACTGAAACTCTCGTGATTTAAATCTAATTGAGAATCTATCCTAGGTTTTCCAAACGAGTACTACCAGTTATATATATATGTATATATATATAGGAGGTACGGTAGAGTAATGGATAGCGGCTTGGGTTGAGGATTCGGAGAACCGAGTTCGAATTCCAGTCGAATCCATTACATTCACTTACGTGCTAATAACCTTGGGAAAGGTATGAATCCTCTTCGTCTGGAATCATGGAACTGAAAGAGAGTTCCACAAGCGATAATTGCAAGAAAAGAAACTGTTAGCATAGAACTTACAGTTATATCCAGCTATGGGTAAAATAGCAGACTGGGTTCTATAGCCTTGGATGGCAACTGGTCTAGGAGAAGGACAACTCTGAATTCAAAACCTGCGGAGGGTCGTTTGGGAACCTTGTGGCATTCGGTGCACCAGGTCTCTGGATTCGTCCCTTCAAAAAGTGTGGATGGTCCTGCACGAAGCCTTCACCACTATAATCAAATCTCATGTGCCGGTGTCGGGCTGTCCTGGAAACTGATCTGCCTGACCCTCATACGTCGAATCTCGACGGGAGAGTCGACTATATATATATATATATATATATATATATATATATATATATATATAGAGAGAGAGAGAGAGATAGATAGATAGATAGATAGATAGATAGATATGAATAGACAGGGTTAGATAGATAGATAGATAGATAGATAGATAGATAGATAGATAGATAGATAGATAGAATCTGTGGTCAATCTACAAGAAACGACTTCGTGGAATGAACATACGAATTACTAACATGTGCACTGGGTCTTGTGTCATTGGAAAAAATAGAAAAAAGTAAATAATAAGAAAATTATTCCTTTTCAAATAATTTGCTCAATGGCATACACAAACGAAATGAAATAGCCAACAGTTTTTTTAATTCGAATTCACCCCATGTAAGTCAGTAAAGGCACACTGACTGTGAACAAATAAGGAAAAGTGAGACATTATTAATGAGTGAGAACAGTAGAAGAGTAATCAAGAAGACAGTAGATAGCGATTGACATTGTATTTAAGTTTTTGAGGATTAAATTTGACTGGAAAGCATGGAGCTGGAAGAGAGTTCCACAAGCGATAAGCGCAAGAAAACAAACTGTTAGCATAGAACATACAGTTATATCTAGCCAGCTCAACTCTAAATGGTTGAGGCCTCGTCGGCAGGCTCGTACTGCGCATAAATTCATACAGTCTGGGCCTCATAGCGGAAAAGCTATCAGAAAAATTACCATGAGATTATTTCTAGAAAAGGTACAAAGGGGCTACCTTAAGGCGGTGGGAAAGTGACTGAAGACGAGCGGCCAGATCAGGACCAATGATATTGTTGATTCTTCTTCCGATTATATCAATTGACATATTGGTTTGTGGATTTAGTGGCATAGTAATGAGTCCACACCTTGGTCCGAGTAGCGCAGAAACAAAGAAAGCAGAGGTGGCTATAACTTGGGCAATACAAAAAAGACCAAGTCGACAAACCACGGACACGAACTGACCCGAATATACTGTGCAGTCGACAACATCAAAAATAAACAACCCGCATGCGCGAATTTAAAAAATAAAAATGGTGACAATTTACCAATCACACCCTGTACACACTCATTTATTTATACATGTTTCATTAAATAATATAGACAAGTGTTGTCTATTTATTTTATGTAAATTCTTCTCATATCGTCTGATAAGCTTAATAACATTATCGTTGAACGAAGAAAGAAAATCATAATAGCTTAGATAGGATTAAAAATATCTATGAATGTTGCGATTAACGATAATGTATCATTGAAAAAATTCCTGCCTAAACACACAATATATATATATATATATATATATATATATATATATATATATATATATATATATATATTTAAATTGTGTGTATTTAGGCAGCATCTTTCATTCATACACGTTTTCATTAAATAATATAGACAAGTGTTGTCTATTTATTTTATGTAAACTCTTTTCATATCGTCTAATAAGTTTAATAACATTATAATTGAACGAAGAAAGAAATTCACAATATTGATCCATATTTTTTTTAATATAATCTAAGCTTTCGGCTTACATAAGCCATTATCAAAGATACATATGAAATATATACATATATACATATTACACACACACACACACACACACATATATATATATATATATATATATATATATATATATATATGTATGAAAACTCTAACATTTTTAGGCATTTAAAACAACCTGCCTGCCCAAGCACACACAATTCCGTAAAAATACTTAGAAAACACAATTATACTTCGACATGAAAACAATAGACAAAAACTAAAAATCCTTGAAGCATTATACATCAAACAGTTGAAACCCAACCTAAACAAAATCAACTATGGAATCTCTACAAATATCCTTAAATGTCTGTAGTTGGTGACGGAGGCTATTGGTTTGTGACAACGGTATTCCATACTTCATACTTCTCCAATTCACTCTCGTGTGGTCATGTGTGACGTCATGAGATGCGGTGCGATTTTCGCTTCTAGCGTCTTTATATGCACGTGTTTATCGTTGCTTAGAGATCATCTATGTAAACATTCACAGACTGTCATCACTGTCTTGTCCGTATATTGCTTAATATGTTGTAATTGACATCTTTGATAATGGCTTATGTAAGCCGAAAGCTTAGGTTATATTAAAAAAATATGGATCAATAAGTATGGGAAGCCGTTGGTATAAACCAATGACTTCTGTTATCAATTATAGTCATTTAAGCATATTTGTGGAGATTTCATAGTTTGTCTATATTTCTGAGATGAGGTATTATGTACAGTATTTACATTAGTCGGACTATTGTCCTCATCTTTGTCGCCATACACCAATACAACCACCTGAAGAAGGCCGGAGCGTACAACGGCCGAAACGTTTATATACAAATATGGCGATAAAGATGAGGACAATAGTCCGACTAATGTAAATATAGATTTCATAGTTTATTTTGCTTAGGTTAGGTTTCAACTGTTTTATGTATATAAGACAAGAATTTTAGTTTTTGTTTGTTTTCATATATATATATATATATATATATATATATATATATATATATATATATATGTGTGTGTGTGTGTGTGTGTGTGTGTGTTTAATAAGGGCTAACGTCTTATAGAGTGCAAGAACGGCCTGTGCTGACTACATTTTATGTGAATATGACCTCAAAAGCAATAACGTCTTGAGCGATAGAAAGCTGATATATTTTTATATAATTTCATCACAAGTAAGGCAATAAAGCCACTAATGCGTAAGGGCTTACTGATTATGAAATAATGTAAAAAAAAGAAAATCATTATTCAGGATCAAGAACAATAAAAGAAAAGCAATTAAGAAAACAGAAGATAACCGTTGCCATTGCATTTAAATTTTTGAAAATCAAAGCTGTTAGGAAAGCAATACGTCGGAATAGCGTCCCACAAGCGAGAAGTGTGAGAAAAGAAACAGCATAGAACCTACGGATAAATCTACCTATTTCAACCTTTAAAATTATGAGACCTACCTGCCAATCTAGGGATAGCAATTATCTTTCCGACATATCCTCATAAAATGCGCCTCATACCCCTAAATCATACTGTTCGCCCCAAAACCATTTACATTAAGACTCTACTTTGATTGGCTCTTGAGCCTTGTTAAGGGGAAATTTAGTAAAAAAATACCAATTGTATATTTGAAAAATTATACTTTATATAACCTATTGATAAAAATAGCTGACCTAATTCAAGAAATTAACCTTTGTGCTTTGCTTTTAATTTGTTGATCTGGGTGATCATGGCTCTCCACGATTTCCTCCCTTTTGTTGATTTATGTAACTTAACACCATTCGTTTACCTTGTTTTCGCATCCGTTCATCCACGTACGTTAAGTAGGTTACGAGGTGTTTATTCCGACCTTCTCTTGCTTTCACTATATCTTGTGGATGTTTAATTCTCCACACCTTCTCTCTTTATTATGCCTCTCAGTAATTTGATTTATCTGGTTCTGGTAGTAAGTATAATGTCACTTGTGTTACCCGTTTTCCTTAAAACTACAAATTTTCTGATACGCTTTGTTGTGGAATCGGCTTGCGAATAATATTTTTTGAAATAAGTCGATTTACACCCTTGAGAAAATACAGGAAGATGTGGAGAGCCATGATCACCTACACCCTTGTGCAATTTAATTAAATCAAAACGAGTAATTCCGTTGTTATTTACTTTTTTTTCGTATTTTTCCTATGAAACATAACCCAGTGCCCATGTTAGTACTTCGTATGTGCATTCCACGAAGCCTTTCCTTGCAGATTGACCAGAGATTCTCGATTGGATTTAAGCCAGGAAAGTTTCCGGGACAGTCTATAGTACTTTGATTTGCTCATTGGTAAAGCTTGCCTTTTATTCGTTCAGCGTGACAAAAACTCATTTCTTCCTGATATCTGTACTGTGACATGCATATATGGCATTATCCAAGTAATTTAGTTTCGTCAATGCTCTATATCTAGTGAGTTTTTTGTAGTATGTCTTTGTAATAGATAAAATAGAAACATTACAACCTTGTGCAAATTAATTGAAACAAAAAGAATAATTATTTACATTTTTTTCGTATTTTTCTAATGAAACATGAACCAGTGCACATGTTTGTACTTCGTATGTCCATTTCACAAAGTCATTCTTTGCAGACTGACCACAGATTCTCGATTGGAATTAAATCAGGAGAGTTTCCGAGCCAGTCGATAGTACTTTGATTTGGTCTCTGGTAAGGCTTGCCTTTTTGTTCATGCAGCGTTATAAAATTTGTACGCTTCCTTGGAGTAACGTCAATTGCAGGGATGACGCAATATTTTTCAAGGCCAAACAAATTCCATTATACACTCCGAAAATAGATTCATATTATTGCACACCACTGAAAATGACCTAATCTGAGGGGAAAAAAAAGACAATGATTAAACCGACTCACTCCAGTGGGTCTAAAACTGACGGTATGATAAAAGAAAGGAAACAAAACCGGTTATTTCAATTATTAGGTTAGTGCAAAAATAATGACGTAATAATGTCGTTTTTTTTACGTATTTTTTAACGTCAAAAAACGATATTTGCACAAGGGTGTAGTTGTCTAGATTTACATCCCTACCCCATTTCAACGGTTATGCGAAATGTGGTTATCAATCCTAAAAAAATAAAATAAAATCTACAACAGGTGGATTAAATGAAGCCGGCTAACTTTTAATCGTGTGCCCCGGGATTGCTAAACGCTACCCTCAGTACTGATCAGGATCAAAGCTACTTGACCCCAGTGATTGAACGAGACTTTGTATTAGAGAAAAAACGTTCAAGTTTCACTTCTTTTAAAGTTATACCAATTGAAGATGGCGGAGATTATAGCTTTCTTTTCTTCGATATGAACTCTCAGTGCTTATTATATAGTGATTTTCCAAACGTAGCTTTGATATGGCACAAGGCGGAAAGTATGGGTCACCCAGTTAGGATCGAACTCACAACTCAGTCGTAATTGTTCTAGAGAGATAAGCTCGCTAACCATTACACCGCCTCCATGTTCGCTAAGTGATTTTCCTAGCGTAGCTTCGATGTGGCACAAGGCCGAATGTGTGGGGCACCCAGTGAGGATCGAACTCACAACTCAGTCGTAATTGTTCTAGCGAGACATATATGCCTATTATATATTTGGGAAGATAATGCAGTTGTTTTCCATTGCCTTCTTTCAGATTTGTAATTAAGACTTTTCTTTCTCTTACACTTGTTGCCAGACAAGTCTAGAACGCTCAGTCTACCCTGCTTTTTCACACATAACTGGTATGGCGAAGAGAAAATAACTTCGACAGATTTGGGTTTCCCGTGTCGCTATCAGTTCCACATCCTGAACATACCAGTTTCTCTACTCATCATCTTTTCTCTAGCTCTACCTATTATTTTACAGAGACGTTCGCCTTGTACAAAGCCCGGGGGCCACTCGAGGTAGAGGGTTACAAAGTAAGAATCACAGTTTCTACGGATATGTAGAGAAAATAACGGTTAACCCTAGGCTTGAACAGGTTAAGATTGTAGTGATCGAGGAAGCATCCTCTTGGGAGTCGGTTCCACAGAGCAGCGGTTCCTAGAAAAAAAAACAGGTTGAGTGAAACTTACAAAGAAAAACGAAGGGAATGAAGGTGGTTCGCTACAAAGGGTGTGGCATGTGGTGTCTTAGCTGTGACGGTTAGAACTGGGAGAACTAAAGAATTTAATTCGTCTAAGTACTTTTCATGGAAGTAGCAGTAGAGTAGTGAGATTTCTGTCTTTTCGTTTGTGGGAAAGAGGTTGTAGGGTGGAAAATTATTTGTCACACACAAGGATGCGGAAAAGCTTTTGGACTCTATCAAGCCTGGGAAGTAATATATATATATATATATATATATATATATATATATATATCATATATATATCAACAGTACTCCATTTTCGGATAGAGAATAGCAGGAAGAATCAGGTCCTTACTGAAAAACGGTCGAAGGAACCGACCATTTTCCCCACATCTTTAGCGATGGATCGCATGCACAAGTTCCATTTGATATCTGGGTTATGTAAGTACAAATATGGCAGGTTGATCACTAAAATTAATTCTCTCTACAGAGAACTTCGTTTTGAATGGATGTAAATACAGTCTAGTTGACAGACCATTGATCGAGGCAAGTTGACTGACCATTGATGAAGGCTAAATGAATGATCACTGACCGAGGCTAGTTGACTGACCATTGTCCGTGGCTAGTTGACTGACCATTGATCAATCCTAGTTGACTGACCATTGATCGATCCTAGTTGACTGACCATTGATGAAGGCTAGTTGAATGGTTATTGATCGAGGATAGTTGAATGATCACTGACCGAGCCTAGTTGACTGACCATTGACCGAGGCTAGTTGACTGACCATTGATCAATCCTAGTTGACTGACCATTGATCGATCCTAGTTGACTGACCATTGATGAAGGCTAGTTGAATGATCATTGAACAAGGTTAGTTGACAGACAAATGACCGATCCTAGTTGACTGACCATTGACCGAGGCTAGTTGACTGACCATTCACCGAGGCTAGTTGACTGGCAATGGATCGAGGCTAGTTGAATTACCATTGACCGAGGCTAGTTGACTGGCAATTGATCGAGGCTAGTTGAATTACCATTGACCGAGGCTAGTTGACTGGCAATTGATCGAGGCTAGTTGAATTACCATTGGCCGAGGCTAGTTGACTGGCAATTGATCGAGGCTAGTTCACTGACGATTGAAGAAGGCTAGTTTAATGGTCATTGATCGAGGCTAGTTGACGAATTACTGACCGGGGCTAGTTGACTGACAACTGACCGATGCTGGTTGACTGGCAATTGATCGAGGCTAGTTGACTGACCATTAATGAAGGCTAGTTAACTGACAATTGACCGATCCTAGTTGACTGACAATTGACCGAGGCTAGTTGACTGGCAACTGATCGAGCTAGTTGACTGGCAACTGATCGAGGCTAGTTGACTGACCATTGTTCCGCTACCACCGATGCGCTCCCTTGATAACATGGCGCGTTTCGACTACACGAATTTAAGCTCAGTACTAAATTGGCAGCTTTTGTTATTTTACTGTCAAACTTGCTAGATTTAACCTTACGTTCCGTTCTAATATTTTCTACTTTCACACTTCCGCTTTCACACTTCCGCTTTCACACTTCCGCTTTCACACTTCTCGTTTCTTGTCAACGAAGATCTTCAAAAATTTAAATTCAACTCCCCTAGTCGTCATCTGTCACCTTAAATCCGGTTCTTTTATTGTCCTATATGTCTTCTTTTTTTTTAAATTCTTTAACTCTCAGAAACTGCTTGAAAATTACGGGCTTTTATCGTCTTTCTTGCGGTGGAATTCTTAAAAATGATAACCATGTTGACCTTAGTTATAGTTTCTGGGAGAGAAGCATATAATCTGACGATGGTGGAACATGGACTCTACTTTCAAACTCTCGGTAACGATCACTTATGACATCTTGCTAGTTTAACCAGTGGCGTATTTTTTCGGGCATTTCCTAAAGTTCCTGCAGTCCTCAGTCCGATATTGATATTTCCAAAGATTGATTTGGTGAGATTCGAACCCGGGTCTTATGATCATAATCCTAGCGTCCTAATCACTGGCCCATATGAGTATTTTCACATATGTAATTTTTGTTTTAATAATTTCACATCAAGCAATGCAGTAAGGCAATGGCGTTAAGGTGTTCTTTGTAGTGAAAGAGAATGACAAGACTTTAGTGAGGAGAAGTGAGGAAAAGAACAATAAAGGAACAGGTTTCAGAAAGACAGAAGATGGGGATAATGCCACTAAGACGCAAGGGGGTTTAGTGAGACGAAAGGACAATAAAAGAACAGGATTCTGGATAATAGAAGATGACGATAAAGCCACTAAGATGCAAGGGGTTACTGGGAGTGAAAGAGAATGAGAAGACTTTAGTGAGAAGAAAGGACAATAAAAAACAGGTTTCCGGAAGTCGGAAGATGGCGATAATGCCACTAAGACGCAAGGTGTTACTGGGAGTGAAAGAGAATGAGAAGACTTTAGTGTGGAGAAAGGACAACAAAAGAACAGGTTTCAGGAAGACAGAAGATGGCGACAATGCCACTAAGACGCGAGGGGTTACTGGGAGTGAAGGACAATGAGAAGACTTTAGTGAAGAGAAAGGACAATAAAAGAACAGGTTTCAGGAAGTCCGAAGATGGCGATAATGCTATATAGATGCAAGAGGGTTACTGAGAGTGAAAGATAATGAGAAGACTTTGTAGAAAATTTAGACGGAAGACATTTCATATTGATGAGAATGTATCTAAAGTTTAGATGCCTAGACAGGATCTTTTGAATTTTGTGAAGAATTTTGATATATATATATATATATATATATATATATATATATATATATATATATATATAGAGAGAGAGAGAGAGAGAGAGGAGAGATAGATATAGATATAGATCTAGGGGACATCTTTTTCAGTCGGATTTTTAACATATATTTGAATAACATTTCATTAAGACACATTTTTAATCCTTTTTGTTAACATATTTTAATAATAAGATAAAATCTTTTGTAAATTTTTTTTAGTAAGTTTTTAATTATTTTTTAAATACAATAATTCTGTCCTTATTGGCAATGATCACCAAGCAAATCATTTCTTGAATTATAAATAACACGAATGGATTGAAAAATTTAATTAAATTATCGCAAAATAAGACTTCATTTCTTTGCAATTTTGAAATTATCTTAAACTTTTCATAACTTCTGGGTCGATCCAATGGGTCGCGAGTTTGTCTTGAAAATATTTACGAGAGTCCCGCACAAGCACGCATATACTGACCTCTGCGTCCGCACATGTACTCAAGTTAGAAACACACGTTTACGCACGAATAAGGCAGCTCGCCGATTCACACACAGACACACATGCTTGCAAATTTAGCGTCCGTATAGTCACAGATGCAAGGAGATAGGGAGACGGATCGAATATAAAAAAAATATAAAATAAAATAAAATAAAATAAAATATGTAACGGTCTCCTAAAAGAAGATATTTTAATCAAATCACGGATTTTCTGTGAGACGAAAGTTAGTGACCCGGAACGTATCCTCGGGGTCTCCGGATTAAGATGGGAAGACAAAGTCTAAACCCGCCCTTCGTTTAGACTTTGAAGATCTTACGAGAGAACGCAGAAGATAAATGACTACAAGACGTTTCAACTCGCAATCAGAGGAAAGATTACACGAAGCGTATTGACACGAAGTGCGTTGGAACAGAAGACCCTGTAAATTTTAAGATGGTTCGAGAAGCCAAAGATACAAATGGACATTTTTGTGTTTTTATTCTGTTTTATTTTATAATAATAATAATAATAATAATATGATTCTTGTTCCTCGTTTCTATTTATTTCTATATCGGCCATGTTTTATTTTTTTTATACAATCGTTCGTAAGGTGGTTAGGTTACGGTTTTAAATTAAAGTTTCGCTTTTTTATTATTATTATTTTTTTTTTTCGAGATTTCAAGACGTGATCTTTTGAAATAAATAAATGATTAAATAAAATAAGAAAAAAAAAAGGCCCGTAGCGTTGGTTGATTTGCTTTGTCACGCATCATTTCTTTCTTTCTCTGCAGGACTTTTCTCCGTGTTTTTCGTAGGTTTCAAAGTGCAAATGCTGTGTCTGTTTACTGATTAATTTGTCTTATACTTTGGACTGATTTTGTTTGATAGTTTTTATTAGAACGCTTTATTCTTCAAATGAAAGGAAAAAAAATGAAACCACACACACACACACACACACACATACATACACTCATAAATATATATCATAATATATCATAATAAAACATAAATGAGTAATGAAGACATTATTACAATAGAGTGATCGATTATATATATATATATATATATATATATATATATATATACAGAGAAATATACAACATGCAATAGAACTGATATAATGATTGTATTGAGTATCCTGGCTTTTCGCTCGCCTGAGGGCTGGGCGACCACCCACAAATAATTAGCCCATGCATATGAAACATAAGTCGCAGGAAAACAGCGTAAATTAAATACTGCTTTTGATATTGTATTTTGAGTACAATATGTACATATATATATATATATATATATATATATATATATATATATATAAAAAAATTACTTTCAAATATCAATTTTACATACAAATATATAAATACATATATATATATATATAAATATAATATAATATAATATAAAAAAAAAGATTACTTTACTTTCAAATACCAATTTTACATACAAATATATATATATATATATATATATATGTGTGTGTGTGTGTGTAAGTGTGTGTGTGTGTGTGTGTGTGTGTGTGTGTGTGTAGATCGCCAACATTGTGTTCAGTAGAATATTATATTGATTTAAGTTAACCTACACTTAAAAAAAATATGGCTAGGACGACAAATTTTCATTTGTCTTTATGTACCCATTCACGCACACAGGCAGACACACACACAGATGCACATATATATATATATATATATATACAACGTGGACCAAAAGTAGGTGGACAGTAAGTAGAATAAGTCAGTGTATCGATTATATCATTACAATGGTGTTCATTATAACTATGGTATTTGTGGTATATTATTTTAAATTTTATAACTGAATTTATCTAATTTTTTTTTCGCATAATTGGATAAGTAAATATAATTGTATATATAAACTCAAACAAATTTTAACATTTGCTGTCCACCTACTTTTGGACCATTCTGTATATATATATATATATATATATATATATATATATATATATATATATATATATTAGAGTGTGCAGCGTATGTCATAAAGAAACAATTTCTACAAGTAATTAAATATAAATATAAATAGGATTAATGGCCCATACAAAGAAGTAAAAATAATCTAATTAAGAAAGACTAATATATTATTATCTCTTTTATAAAAGATTATAACACATTATAGTTATAATATCTCATAATAAAATAATATATATATATATATATATATATATATATATATATATATATATATTTCTTATTTAAACTCAGTCTTCAAGCCACGTATGTTGTGGTTTATTTCGACTATTCATATATATGCTAGTATGTATATGTATTATGGAGAATAAGGCTTAATATAATATCCTGACGGTTTTTTTTTTAGACGGTAACGTCCATGTTTGAAATTTTTCAAAAGTCTATTGAATGAGAATATATATATATATATTAGGTTGGTGCAAAAATAATGACGTAATAATGTCGTTTTTAACCTATTTTTAACGTTAAAAACGACATTAATACGTCATTATTTTTGCACCAACCTAATATATATATATATATATATATATATATATATATATATATTTTTAAGCCTTTCACCCCAAGCAAGGCGGGAAGCCACTAGGACGCAAGGGGTTACAGAAAATTTAGAGCAAGATCAGATAGGAGTGATCGAAGAAAGGATGAGGGTAGTGGATAGATCAAGTCAACTGGAGATGTCGATTGACATTACACTTGAATAGCTGGAGATTATAGCTCACAGGGAAACAGGAAAAGGGAAGGGAGTTCCACAGGCGAGAGGTGCGA